TTTTTTGATCCTTTTTTATTTTTTTAATTGATCCCTATCCCTAAACTTCGGATGGGAGAAAGGTTTCCGTCCTGTCTCTCCGACAGAACTCATCCAGCGCCCTGCAAAGACGTTGTCCAGGAATGCCAGGGTGTCTGCGTCCTCTCCGCCTCATGATTGTACTCTGCAGCCCAGCAAAGACTTGCACAGCAGGCATCTGAGCAGCGTCCTCCACTGGGCCCTGCATGCCTCATGGACCTCATCATGATCCTGCAGGCAAGCAAACTTGCAGTCCACAACATGTCACTGCTGTTGTAGTGCTACTCCTTTCTTGCTACCTATCTTTGACCAGTGAAACAGATGTCAAGTGAAACGGCACGGCCAGCGCACCTGGCCAAGCAACTCAAAGGCTTGAATGCTTCACTCGGGCAGCCATACATTCATCCACAGCTGTGTAGTCGAACTGGTTTCCTCGCAATGTCAGGGAGGTCAGGCTTTGGTTCGCTGACAGCATATTCTCGAGAGCATTCCCACCATCCGCTGTGATTCCATTACCGTCCAGCTCCAAGCCTTCCAAAGCTGCGTTCGATCTCAGTGCCTCGGCCAAGGCAAAGGCGCCTTTGTCTCGGATGACCTGGCCCTGACCTCCACAGAGGTCCAGGGTGCCTGCAGTACGCAAAACCCTTGAGGAAGGAGGGTGGGACATGAAGCACAACTGAGCAGCGCGCTGCTCCGGCATCTACGGCCATCACGACACGCGCTGCTGATACGACAAACTGGGACGGCTTACTACGAGCACTACCAGCAACAACACTACAGTCACGGCAACTGCCACTACCAGCACAACTACTGCACAACATCACTCGATAACACGGCCACCATATGGCGACTCTTCAGACATTGACGACCATACAGAAACCCAGAAGCAAAAGCGGGAGCGACGAGCAGCCTACAAAGAGAGCGTCTCTGCTGCCCTGGGTTCTTAACCACGTTTCACTTGCGTGTGACATTTTGGATCACGCTTGGATGAATATCCGCTAAGGCAGGGCTCAGCAACTCTTCTGACTAGTCCTTCCCGTGTTGAGCGCGTTTGTTTTTTGTCCCGTAACGTTGTTCCTAGCCTTAGTTCTGCTCTCAGGATTCAATCACAGAACTGCGAAGCCAGGGTGCGCAGTGAGCTGTTGCTTGACAGCATACCTGCAAGGGCCACGGCGCCGTCGTCACCAATGAGATTTTCTGCAAGGCCCAGATGTGTCAATGTAGTGTTTGTCTGCAAGCCCTTCGCCAGGGCCACCGCACCAAAGTCGTGAATCCGATTGCCATGCAGCTCCAAAGAGCCCAGAGGAGCCCAATCCAGTAGTGGCACCAAGGACTTGGCACCAGCCACCCGCAAATCGTTCGCCGACAAATCCAAATACAAGGAGCTTGCGCGACCACCGCCTCCACACAGAGTTCTGGACAAGAACTCCCCCCCCTCCTCCTGCATGAAGTTCTCCGCGAGGCTCACAGAAACTAAAGACTCCATTTCGACGAATTGAAGCATCAGCTCTGCGACACACAGCGCGGCCCGTGGCCCAAGCAAGTTGTCAGCCAAACTCAACTCACGTAGCTTCAGTTCCCGACGTCCTCCCTCCCGTAAGCCTGCGACCAGCACCTCGGCGCCGCCGACCTCCAGCTGGTTGTGCGCCAGGCTCAGGATCTGCAAAGACGTCAGCGCAGGAAGTGCTTTTGCCAGAACGGCAGCCGCCTCAACGTCAAGCCGACACTCCTCCAACTTTAGGTGCTGCACTCTCGGTGCAGAAGAAAGGGCTTGGGCCAGCTGGTGAACGGCAGCTCCGCTTAGCTCGTTGCTGCTTAGATCTACTTCTGAGGCTCCTTGCCGGGCCTTTCCCAGCTCACGTTCCAAGTCCGGGGCCGCATTGGCCGCATCCTCTCGTCTCCTGGCTTCCTCCAGAGCTTCGATACTTCGCGGACAGCAGAACCCAGCAGTTGGGCGACATCCAACTTTGTGAATTGGCCAATGCCGGCGTTGACAGTCCGAGGAACAGTAGGCAGCAGCGCCACAGCGCCCGCAACGCTTGGTGCCTTCAGCATCGCAGCCATCTGCCGCGCACGACATTCAGGACTGCTCCCCACTCAGGTACGGCTGTGGCTCGGTGGCTCGTATAGGTGGAGGTGAGGCGTGGTCGCCAGGTCCATCTCCGGAAACGCGTTGTGGCGTTCGAGCCGGCAGGAGCACAGACAGGACAGCTTCGATTGTGAGAGTGTGAACGACTCCAAGCTACTGAGGTTTGGCATCCTGTCCTCACCACTGAAAGCAGTGGCACCGAGAGCAGCATGCCAGGAACTCCCCAGACCTGCAAAAGAGTTCAGCATGGGCTACAGAATGCGCTGAGGTCTGGTGGAGCCCCCTTGCAGAGACCACATTATAAAGAGTTGACGGGACAGCAAGCCAAGCAGCTTGGTAGAAGAACCAAATTCCGAGGATAACAATTACCTGAAGCTGGCTTTGATTTGGCCAGCAGGTGGTCAGGTGGGAAGGGAAAGGAATATTTAGACCTCCTAGACTTGTTGTACTTCAATGCAAGTCCGGTCGAAGGGAGCGAGCGCGCGCAACGCCGCAACGTGCTGCCAGTTTCAATCTGAGCGCAGAGTGAATCTCCACAGAGATGCCAAAGAACACAGGCTCTATCCTTGGCATAGCAAGAGAGCACTGCGAGAGAGCCAGGCCGCTGCACTGCGCCGCCACAAAAACGGAGAAGCCCAAGGCTCACGAAGTCGATGAAGAAGTGCATGATCGCTTGAAGGACAAAGGCCAGCAAAACCTCAAATTTTGCTTTAAACTTCGACTCTTCTGAGCTCAGATTCGGACCAGAGCCTGGGCCGCCCCGGCCTGCGTCGGAGTTTTCCTCACATCGATGATCGCGAGGATGCACGGCAGCACGGAAGCTGCAGGAGAGCCGATGCCTCTGCGCGATGTTTCGAATTAGTTCTCACTGCGCTAGCTCTTTCAAAAATGACGGAGCCTGGCAAAAAGTTGGCCAGGAAGGACAGCAAGCCGAAAGCAGCTGGGAGGTCCAGGCCAATAGCCCAGAGCAAGATTCCTGGGACTTAGCATGGCACCCACTTCTGCAAAGTGGCTTGAACTTTGATCAGGTAGGCTTCCAATCGACAGCCCAGTGAAGGCTGAAGTGAGACACTTCACCTTGAGATATCTGCTGGTGGAGTTGAAGACCTGCGTGTGAGACGCCCTGACATCTTGTCCTCTTGTGGCCGAACATCTGCATTCCTGCGAGGGCCTCCGCAGCAACTGCACTGCCGTCCACCTTGACCGGACTCCAAAGCATATAAATCAGGAAGATGAATGTAACTACCTCAGCAGTGCCGCTGAAGCAAGCGACATGCACCACTCTCAACGGCTGCCGCTCGATCAAAGCTTCAGCTGGGGTGCTGCCTGTACCGCAGTGTAGATGACACTCTGGGTCACGACGCTGCCTATGTGCTCGACCTCCACGGCTTGTCACAGCTTCCGACTGTGCTGCCAAAACATCCCCAGACCTCGGCCACAAGCTCGTCGAGGAGCTCCCCGTAGTCAAGTGAGCTGATGTGTAGGTCATGGATGTACGTTTGCACCCACCTGCCGGGCATCTCCGGGGGCATATTATGTTCAAGGCCTCAAAGCGGAGTTCCCCAAGGCCCGGGGGCCCGGCCCCTTGAGGCGCTCCGCGCCCTGCTTGTAGAAGTCCAAGTTGGAGGAGATCCTTAGAGCCGCATAGAGTGCCCCTGGCTTTCACCATCGCCTTTCTTCAATGTGCTGCTGGCCAGTATGACTTCACTCGTTGTGATATCGACCATGATCGTCATTCTTGCTGTCGACACGAGAAGAAGAAACATTCCATTCGATAGATATAGTTTCGGCCTGGAAGACGGCTGCAAACATTGTCATCCGCTGGGACCGCTGAAGGTGTGTCGCTTATACGATGGTTCGACAACGATGCGAGGATGCGCACGCAGTCGAAGATATCCGAAGCTGTGGCAGTTGTGAAATCGCATTCGTCGTCTGCGCAGTCGGTAGGCGTGGAGGTGGCGGTGGTGGCGGTGGTGGCGGTGGTGGCGGTGGTAGCGGTGGTGGTGGGCCAGTGGGTTGTGGTGGGTGGTGGTGGGCGGTTGTGGGTTGCGGTCAGATGCAAAGCAGAAACAGGAGTAGCTTAGCAGTGGTTGTTCTTATCTGTCGTGGCAGTTGCCGTGCTTGCAAACGGACAATATACACCGGGCATGTTGGGCGGAGGATGCTGAAAGCTGAGCCTGCTGCACGGCCCCCGCGCGAAAGAACACTCTGGCAATCATCCAGAGCACACGCCCGCTCACGAGCAAGCAAAATATGATAGAAATGGTGACAAGAACTCCTTGGCTCAGCAGGACTCACCGCCTGGCTTGGCTCTGGCGGGCCATTGCTTTCAAAGGAGCTCTTAAGACAGGGAACAGGTCTTGCAGGCCGCGGCGCATCCTCTGCTACACATCGACAATCTGCACTCAACCGTTTGGGACGGTTCACTCACGCACTCGGAATCTCTTAATGCTTGACATCGGGTGAGACATAGGCTGACAGCATGAACTGGATTCTGCAAAGCTGCCTCCGTTGTGGAATCGTCTGGGAGACTGCCGTAGACGGGCGTCGTTTCATCAACACTCGGCAGGCGTCCGTCTGGCAAAGGTCAAGTAAGAAAGGAGGGACAGGGGCTCATTATAATATAACCTACTACAATATAATATACTACAATATGACACCGTATAATAAAATCTAATTTACTTAATTTAATATGGGCAGTCTTGGATTCAGAGTGTTTGACCTGCCTGCAAAGCCATGCATTGACATGCTGTCGACGCAGAAGTCCATCCGCAGGGCCGTGAGAATACCTTACATCAACAGATCCACGACAACTCCCAAATCCGCACGGAAGGAAGCGGCCTTCCTGCAGGCAGGCGACCCACTGCGAGACCAGAGAAAACTTGCAAGACAAACTTTTTCATCGGCTCCAAGACAATCACGACAAGCATTGCAAAGATGAATGGGAGCAGCACTTCGGCGAAAGTTATAAGGAGCTGGATAGTCAAGTAACCTTTGCTGGCATCGCATCTTCTGCGGTTGAAAAAATGATCAAAAGGTTAGAATGCGGCCACCAAGAACACGAGAGCCTGGAACCGCACATAGCTTGCTTGCATGATGCTAGAATGCCGGGACACAAGCAGTCACAGATACAGCAAACTTCACCAGGTATAACCCACGAATCTGGGAAGATGCCGTCTTGAAGTGTGAGCTGCGTGTCGGACCTTGGGCAGCCGTTATCTCACACAACGGTTGTTTTTTATATCAATCGGCAGAGCCAGCCTGGATCAGCATGCCGGAAGTCGCCCAAGCCATCCCTTCCACGGGATCGCAGACCCTCACGCTGCCTTGGAAAGAATGCCAGAAAAACACTTGTGAACATCTTGCCGGTAAATGGGCGTTGCATGCCCGACGAGTGGCAGTCCATAGGCGTTCTCTGTAAGGGCACGAAATCGAAGCTCCTTGTCGCCGCTTGGCTGGGCCTGCACACAACACATACTGACTCCAGAATGCGGACGACTTCCAAGTCTTGCATAGCAACACTTGACCCTTCTTCTGTCCTGAACCCGGCCTGCGAGGCTTCCGTCTCCACAACATCTCCATGTCCCGTAGAAGGGCTTTGGACAGAAGGGAAGCGAACCGCTGAGCTGTCACCTCGCGAGATGGTGCAAGCCATAGGCTCTGTGCTCATTGCAGTAGCAGGAGCATGGGGCAACAGCAGCAAGAATCGTCGTGTTCTTCGTCGTCGTAGTGGCAGTAGTAGTAGTAGTAGTAGTAGTAGTAGTAGTAGTAGAAGTAGAAGTAGAAGTAGAAGTAGAAGTAGAAGTAGTAGTAGTAGTAGTAGTAGTAGTAGTAGGGGCCCCCCCCGTACCAACTACACTTGCTTAAAACCAT